ACAAGAGTGTCCCACAAGAGTTTCCTACAAGAGTGACCCACAAGAGTGTACTACAAGAGTGTCCCGCAAGAGTGTCCTACAAGAGTGTCCTTTGGACATATTAGTTTTTCGATCGTGTTTGCATTCGGCTTCGTGGGTTCCATCTTGTTCAGTCTAACTGCCCTCCCACTCCCTTCTCTAGGCATTCACGTCCTTGTCTTCGGCAGGGTCAAAAACATACCAAACTAGCCCAAATTTGCCTGGCAGGCGTTAGTGTCGGACAGTGGTTTGAAGCCTAAAGAAAGAGCAGCGCTACAGTTCCGAAACCGGCCTCTGCTCAATTGAACCATCCTGGCTGAATCGGCCAAATCATCTCACTCTGTTACATGCTTTTGAATCCCTATGGCACAGATGGAACAGACGAAGAGATAGTCTCTTACACAGTTTTGCAAGGAATGTAGATGAGTTTTCTATGGGTGCGAACGGACAGGCATACTTTATCGACCTGTTGAACTCAACTTGTTGCAAGGCCAGGAGCCCCTAGTAGCGTCCTTGCTCCTTGTAGTAAGGCCAGGAGCCCCTAGTAGCGTCCTTGTTCCTAGTAGTAAGGCCATGAGCCCAGCCGCTTTTGTTCTTTCAGTTCGGTCAAACTGGCTCCAAGCCACCGCCACATGTTCAATAGGAGGCAGCGCCGTGACTGACCGGTGATGCACGCTGTGCACGGTCTGTCACGCTACCAAGTTCTTTCCAATGTTTTGTTTTTTAGATGAGTAACAAGAAGCTACTAGTAGCTCCTGGCCATACTACTAGTAACAAGAAGCTACTAGTGACAGGGGCTTTTCTACTAGTAGCAAGGACCCTACTATGATATTATCGAGTTATTAAGCATTGTGGGGCCCCCCCGTAAGTTCTAGATTGAGATGATGGTGTGCCGTGCCTCACAAACGAGACACTTGTTGATCCTAATATAAGGGGTCGGGTAGGGGACCAATATTACTTGACAATGTTGTGTTCCACAAGGGTTCTTGCAGACGAGATGACCTGTCTTCCAGCACGAGTTGATGTTGTTTGTAGCAAGAAGTTGCCCACGTACTAAGCCCATCAAAAGAATGACAACATGCCTGCTCAAGGAGTGTAAAGAAGAAGAAAGTGACACTTGGCAAGATGTAGCAGATGCACTTGTGAACGCCTCTGAAAGTCGTCAGTGACACCCAACCAGGTTTGGTAAGGATAAGACATGGCAAGCTGCCATTGAGAAGGACCGCTTCAAGAACAAACTCAAGACGGGAGAGTCAAACATGTGGGCAGCTTGGCGCAAGTTTGTTTAGAATTTAGAACACCATCTAAATTCCCACCCTGGGCTAGTTGCTTGGGATTTGATATTGCAATTGTTTGTCGATCTATATACTGTAATTTTATTTCAACTGCATCCTTAGACTTGAGTTATTTTTGCTGTGCCATGTACATTGGGTGCACACATCCTTTCAGTTCCTTTACAACTTTTACTGGAGTGGATACCCTATCTGCTTTAGCCCTGCCACCAAGAAAGAGCGGAAGAGAGAGTTGGACAATGAGCGAAGAGAGTTTCGCCTCGAGCATCAGCTGGTGGCTTGGCTGAATTGACCATGTTTGTAAGAGGCCAAGCAAGTACGATAGCTAAAGAACATTGAGTGGAGCCGAGAGGTTCTGAATATTTTTCGGGTTTTTCAGTGTCTCAACTGATGAATCTGCTTTGTTTCAGGTGAAACTGCCGAAGGGGAAAATCATGGAGCTGTCTGGCAAGTCTTGTTGCACTTGCCAGCAGACGCTGAAATCTGAGCCACAGGGTGTCTGGGCTGTGCGTGAAGGCTTTTGGTCAAGGACTGGGTGGAACTCGCTGTGAACCATGGTTTGAGCTGCGGCATTTTATTCCCAGAAGTGGGTCTTCCAAACTCAGGTTCTTTTACCACGCCTGCCTAGCATCTCTGTTGACGCCTGCCCTACCCAGTATCTTAGTCTTAGATTCGCCAACATTGTGGTTCCATGCTGAGGTGACTTTGAGGCGGCCTCCAAGCTCTTGCCTCTTCCGAGGGCCATGCGCTTTTGCACTGCTACATCGTGCAGCGCCTACAAGGCAGAAGATGAGTCCTATGGTGCCTAGCCAAAAGTTTCGATTTGGGCATCTGGGTTGGTATTGTTGGATGTCCCTCAGATCCAGTCTAAGACTGCTTCCGCATTCTCAGGATCAGCTTGCAGGTCCGTGCTTCCGAGTTTCTGCCGGGGAGATGTGCCAGAATGTCCCGCTGACCTAGGCGCGGTCGGGGGGCCAGGTATAGAAGCGGTTGAGTCCAGATTGGAAGTGATTTCAAAAAAATGGGATGATTGTGTATTGCAGAAGAAGGTTTTGTTCATGTGCTGTAATGCTTCAAACGCTGGCAAACGATAGGGGACTCTCAAAAAGCGATACCCTGTAAGGAGATTCACACACAAACTTGACCATGCAATTGCCGCACGCCGCACGATCAATTTTGACCGTACCTTTATGAATGTTGGAACGCGTGGGAAGGATGGGGTATAGTCATTGCCACCTGTCCACAGCAAAGTGCCGCTATGAAAGGACTGGAGGGAGTGAGACTGGCTCTAAAGAAGGACTTTTGTTTGAACATAGTAACAAGAAGCTACTAGGGGCTCCTGGCCTCGCTACTAGGAGCGATCGGTCGCTACTAGGGGCTCCTGACCTTACTACTAGGAGCAAGGACGCTACTAGGGGCTCCTGGTCTTACTACGAGGAGCAAGGACGCTACTAGGGGCTCCTGGTCTTACTACTAGTAGCGTCCTTGCTCCTAGTAGTAAAGCCAGGGCCCCTAGTAGCGTCCCTGCTCCTATTTCAAGGCCAGGAGCAAGGACGCTACTAGGGGCTCCTGGCCTTACTACTAGGAGCACGGACGCTACTAGGGGCTCCTGGCCTTACTCCTAGGAGCAAGGAGGCTACTAGTAACAATTATCGACCCTATCCTCCTTCTACCTTAAAGCTTTTTGATTCCTTCGGATGTACGACACTGGGTCTGCTGGCTTCTTCCGGGCAGGTTCCTTTGCGACACCAGTTCCTTGGGAATAGGAACAGCCAGAGCGAGAACGGCAGGTCGAGCTTGCGCCCAAGCAAAAAGAGTCGTTGAAAGCTGATAATATTGACACGTCAAGTATGGTCAAACATTTCAGTCTGGAGTCAAATCAACTTTTGGCTTGGTATATCAGGAATGAACAGCCTGCTTTGTGCTCTGCCGTGGCCAGCGTGCAAACGATTGCTACCAGTGTTTCTGGACACACATATATATATATATATATATGTATGTATTTAAATTGTCCCCTCCATAGTCATTCTGACTTATACTTGAGATGTCATGAAGACATCCCATAGAACAAATCTGGGACTTTCGTTATTGTTGTCCTCACTTCTTCAAAAAGTTCCTTTACAGTGGGCACCAGCACAGCAGTCGCTGGCTCCGAAGACTTGCCTGTGTTTGGTCTGGGAATAGTCTTTCCAGCTTTTCTGTTGCGCCATGTTCTTGCCCACTCTTGTTTTGTGACTGGACTGCTGGTTGCCGGCTTTTCCAGATGCTGCTCGTCTTTATCCTCTTACCTAGTCAAGATGATAGCACGCGGAAAAGACACATCTGTGATCCAGCAAAGAGAGAGGGTGCTTTGAGACTTTGAATAACAGACTTGTAAGTAAGTACTGTAACCCCTTTCAGTTTCAATTAGGAACAAGGACGCTACTAGGGGCTCCTGGCCTTACTACTAGGAGCAAGGACGCTACTAGGGGCTCCTGGCCTTACTACAAGGAGCAAGGACGCTACTAGGGGCTCCTGGCCTTACTACAACGAGCAAGGACGCTACTAGGGGCTCCTGACATTGCTACTAGGAACAAGAAGGTACTAGTAGCCATTTGAATGTACTTTCCCAAAGAATTGTGGTCCGCCTCCTGGCATGAATTTCCTGACCTCGGCGGATCAAGACGTAACGCGCCCGGCAGTGGCGTTTGTCGCGGCGCGAAGCCATGAAGCTCGCGCTGCTGTTGGCCTCTTTGGGGTGTTCCTTTGCGCATGACGGGCTTTGTGGGTGTTTGCTCAAAGACATCGTCTGAAATCCAGTGCTTTTCTGGGTAAAAAGGGAAGTTCTTGTAGTTCTTTAGTTTGCACCCAAAGACAGGGATTCGACAGTTCGACATGACCGGTGTCACGCAGCTTTGGAAGAATTCTTTCCCTCTTGGGCTTGACCCTTCTCCTACAGCGTGTCCCTCCGGCAGGAGTATCCCCATTATGTACCGGCCTGTGGCAGCTGTGGCACTGCAGAAGCAGCTGCAGATCAAGCTGCTAGGGAGCGAAGAAGTCACACGCACATATGCATGGGGCACATGTTTCATTTGATTGCCACGAAGTCGTGAGGGGTTTGCCAAGAATCTGGTTTCAGAGTTGGTTTCATTTGCAGGTTTGAACCGATCCCAACTGCTAGCTTCTTTTTTTCCCAGGCGTTGGCTGTTTGGTTTTAGCTAATCAGCCAGCAGAAGAAGCAGTATATTAGGGTAGGGGCACTTTATTTTTCCTGTGGAAAAGTGAGGTTCCCGTGGGCCAAAAGGCTTGTGGGGGCAGTTCCAGGTAATTGGAATTGATTTCAAGTCCATGCTTCAACAGACATGTCTTGGACCAAATTGCACTAAATCCTCTTCTTGGAGGATCGTAGAGGGCTTCTAGGCTTCCCAGAATCTTCTAATCACATGTTGCAAGTGGATGGATCAGTTGATCAATGTCTTTGGCCTTTGAGCTACTGCAAACCCTTCATCATATGTGAAACCCAATGTTATATAAGGTTTTGAATTCCTCAAGCCACTTTCAGAGTCAACCTGCTTCACAAGACACTTTCCATTCTACTTAATCTTGATCCCTTCTGTCCGTGTCTCAACACTTATCCTTTGAATCCTCCAATCCAGAGTGTAAGAGCACATCTGCCTGAATTCACGGATGGAAGGGACACCTCCGACCACTGACCCGACACCCAACATCCACCGGTCCGGGATCCGATCGTCCAGGAGCACAAGTCCTTGGCCGAACAGGCGGACGCGGCCTCTCGAGCGGCGGCCGGTGAAGCCCACGCGCTGGGCCTGTCCGCTGGGTACCAGGTTGGGGGTCCTGAGCTGAATGAGATATGGGGTGGTAGGTTGAAACATCTACACAGGTGTCAAAACAACATAGGTCACGGAAGTTACATGAACGCATACTGGTGTCAACCTGTGTTGATGTTTGGGGGCGCGCACGGGGAGTGTGGTGTCTTGACCGGCCAAATAGTTTTCCTTTCCAAAGTCGATTATTTCGGTGCGGTTAAGAGAGGCAGTCCACATACCATCCTGCTCGCTAGGCGCAGTATGCCGGAAAGGCAGCCTTTCAGGTCTACCAGAAGGCGCCAGAGCAGAGATTTTCAGGGCTCTAATCACTGTTCCTGCTGGTTTTCAGAAAGACCTCAGTCTGACTCGTTTTCTTTCTTGGGACAGATAGGTTTCTGTGTACTGCCATTTACCTACCGTCCGTGAATTATCCCGCAGTACATGGTGGTCCCCGAACTAGTGCAGTGAGTCAGGCCCAAATGCCTTTGGCCAGTTGCAGCTATGAAGCAGCGAAGGAGGCAGCTGACACTGCTAAGGTGCGCCAAAGCCATCAAATCTCAATAGGCAGAATTGACGGAATCAGAGCCACAAGAAACCCTTCAATCCCAAAGTGGAAGGGCGTGCATTTGCTGAGAATGCCTAGTCTTCAGCAAGCACTGGTCGAAATTGCCCTCCTTGAGAAGAAGAAAAGTGTTGAAGAGAAAAGTGCTATTGTTCACATTTGGGGAGACGTGACCTAACCTTGGCATGTCTCCTCCAAGCCCACAGATCCAACCTATGGAAAGCCTCCAAGGACTGCAGCAGGATGAAGCCGACCTCAAAAACACGCAATTTCCGGCTCTTGCGTTTTCCCTAGTCTTGGCATGATAGGAGATCCATTAGATAGGCCTGGTGGCCTGAGTGAGAAAGAACACCTTGGGCGCTCGTAGAGAGACAATTCTGCAGCAGATATTTCGAGGCCAATGGTTTGGACATCGATGCGCAGCTGAATGCCGGTGCCGTCACAGCGGCCTTGTCTTTGGCGTGCCTTGACGCCAGCATTAGTTTGAAAGGGTTGACGATGCGGACATGATACGTGTCTTTTATAGAGGTTTCTGTAAAGGCTGTTGGATTCCTTTGGAACTTCTTCCTGGTTCAACTGATTCTTGCACCTTGGATATTTGAGATGAGAAGGTGACAGTCACTGGGTGAATCCTTTGCCGTGTTTTGGATCCCTGTCAGCTATGGGGTGGCCCTTAAAGCCTTTGGCTGCCTCCCAACTGGACGTGGAACCAGACAAAAGTCGTTTCCCATGTCAATGAGTGTACTAGCTAGTGAGGTCAATTGGCCAAAGCGGCCAGCAGCAGGCAGATGGAGCCTTTGCAGCTGCGAAGGTGGGGTTGATCATCTTGTGAGGCTCATGATCGGCCCCTCGATGATGACAAGTTGGCTTTCAGCTGGACACGCAAATAATAGGAAGAGGCCATAGGCCACCTGTGGATCCACAGCTCAGTTCCAAAGCCATTTTTATTGCTTGACCAAATCTCTACACTACACCTAATTACACACCAAACCTTTTGGTCACCATACAGCTCTCGTGAAAAATGTCATGCGTCGGTCTGTCGGTGTCTCTCTCTCTCTCTCTGTGAATACCTTTGACTCAAAGGTCACCTGTTGGTGTAATAATGCAGGGGTTCAAGGCGCGATATCACCAACCTACCCCTCCCCTCCTGTTTAATCTGATTGATGTGAGCTCGAATCAGATTGTGATGTGAGTTCAAACCGTTGTCGTTTTTGTACGCAACCACCCTACTAGTGATGGCCTCCAACCTGTTGCGATGACCTCCCACCTAGATGCGATGGCCTCCAACCTACTCGTCCTGTTTTTAGCTCAGGAACCTACTTTCGCCGAAGCAGCCGTGTGGCGAGTGGCTTTCAATTCCGTACAAGTTATCCCGAGTGTGCCCTAGCCCCCCCGACGAGTGTTTTTTCGCTTGGTTTTCCCTTTGTCGGCAGCCACGCACTTTCATTTTGTCTCGTCCTCGTTTCATGTTTTCTCTTTTGTCTTGTGCCAACAAATCTTGAGTTGTTGCAGTGCACAAATCGAACTTTGAAGGAATGTGCAGCCTGCAGCCCAACGCCCTTAGCAGTTTCTGTTTTTTGCTTTTTGGGGGGCGGGGGAGTGCCGTGGCTGTTGCCATGGCCACTACTTGGACTGACTTGGTCAACAGCACTGAGAGCGCTAAGCCTCCTGATGCAGTCTTGAAAGAAGCCATGCAGTTCCTCACAGATGTGATCCAGCTGGGGCTAGTGGTGTTACCAAAATAGACTTGGACAAACTCAAGCTTGCAGATTCTTTGCCAGTGGCCTCTTTGGTCTGGGATTCCACGTTCAAGCCGATCAGTCTCTGTACACCACCTTGCAGCTGGCTTCAGAAGAGGCAAAAGCCCAACATCGCATAGCCTTCACCTATCTGCTTTGCAATCCTTTAGATTTCTCCCCCCATCTCTGGAACATGTGTGCCTTGCAATTGGACACAGCAGCCACAGCTGTCCAGTAGTTTTTTCTTCCTTTAGACGACGCGTTTACGGCAGGGGGGGGTGGTGCACGATTGGCAGACACTACCAATACCCAACGGAGACGTTATCAGATGGTGAAGCAATGTGGGACCTATGTTAAGCCATATATATATTTTTTATTTCGCCACGCCGTTCACCAGGCAAGGTCTAATCTGCAAGTGCTGTATTCCAAGTGTGTGTCTACTCGGTCCACTCTAGCCACCTGCCTCTCTTGTCCGCCGCACTGGACCGGTTCCAGGCTTTGACCCAAGAGTTGCTGCCGGCCTCAAAGCAAGCGGCGGCGTTGGATACTCTGGATGGGCCTATTAGCTTCATTACTGGGGCCACTCGGCGTAGTCCGGCGTGACTGGCATCGCGTCCAAACTATGCTTCTATACCAGGGATTGTGGTGAGGCACTATCTCAAAAAAATCCATCTCTAGAAGGCTTCAGCTAACTTTGTTTGCAAACCATATTCCCGAGAAAATTTGGACGCGCAAAAAGGACAGGTGACGAAAGGCTCACCAGGTGAAATGACGGTGAAGGCTACCGGCTAACGCCAAAGTCTGCAGGTCCTCCCTACCGGGCGGTGGCACCCTGGACCAGGCTCTCTTGGAACACCTTCCAGACGCTTGGACTGATGAGGAGAACGCTTTGTGATGAAGGGCTTTGAAGGGCTTGTTGACGTCTTTGATTTGTGTCAGGGAGACCGCCAAAGCGCCACCTCTAGGCTTTGGAAAGGCTCAAGCTTTTGCGTAATCACACTATTGTTGGACCCCCCCGACAAATTGTTTAGTTATGTCATGTCTTACGTGCAATTTGCAAGCATTGTTGGATCTATTTATTTTTGGACCACCCTTGAAATTGTAGATTTTGGAGGGGAAGAAAATAGAGTAAACGGTGTACTTGATCGAGACATCACTGAGAGATGAACGCAGCGTAAACAGTATCTATAGCTGAAATTGTACTTCATTCCAGGGGCAGAAATTACAACCAACCACCCGCCAATTGTATATATATATATATACATATACATATATTGTTTTTTGTGGAGGAACCCTTGAAGAAATGTACATGTTCAAGGGGGTTAAAAGATAGGGTGGTTATGTACAATAAACTATGCAGACTGCGTGACCGAGAGAGGACTTAGAGATGAACGCACCATGGAGTGGATGAGTAATGTGCGAGAAGCCTCTATAACGACTATAGTTTGGAACTGACAAATTGTTTAGTTCTGTCTTTTGTACTTGCAGATTGCAAGGTTTGTTGGATCTATTTTTATGCCAATTGTACATTTTTCAGCGCGCAAGTTATTGTCATTTGCAGGCATTCTGTACAATATGTGATACGAGGGCAACCAGCTGATGCATCTATTGAAATCTATTGTTGACATTGAGAGGAGTCGTTTTCTTGCCTGTCATGGACCTGGTGATGCAAATGATGCGATGTTGACAAATATCATCAAACATACAGGATATCTAAAACCATCTGTTTGTCAACATTTTTCCCACTCCACTCCTCTCCCAGACACATCTCCTGATGCTGGATGTGCATTTCCGTTCCCAAATGAAATCCACACCTGCGCAAAATCACACCTGCACACCTGCACACCCAAGTCCTTGGGCAAATGTTTGAAAATTTGTACTGCCGTTGGGCGGTTTCGCTGTTAGACGAAGAGTGCTCCAGTATATTCTTTCTCTCGCTTACCATCGCACTCCTCGCCTTCCCATTCCTAGTGAACACATCTCTGTTGAAAGACTCTGGTATCTCGGCCACATCATCCGGCTTTTTGATTGTCTTGAACACAAACCTATTTTCCACGAATCGTTGCTTCTGATCGTGACTTTCCAAATTGTCTATCCCGGTTACAGGGCTCTTGCTAGGGATGCTCTTGCTGAGTGAGCCGCATGACCCGTGTAATCAAGGGACTCCGTGTACTTGCAAACCCCAACTAACGCTGTTCTCCTCTTCGGCTGTGCCTTCCTACCTACGCTCTTGCACAGATCACCACCATTGCCTCCACCACACTCTTGAAGATAAGACAGCCACATCCTCCTTTTTAACCTTATCAGCCTGCCCTCCCAGAAGGGTTTAACGCCCCACGCATACTGCTCCTCCTTCCCCGTCACTCCCTGGGATCAACTTGTCTTCTCGATAATAGGATTCTTCATTGCAACGTGGACGTCTAGTCCAGATGGACTTAAGTTTCCCAAAAAATCTAGAAACCAAACTTGCAGGTAGGAGAAACCAAGCGTTTTGTCTTTTTTGGATCTAGAATCTAGAAACCAAGTGTCCCAGGTAGTAGCTACTTGCAGGTAGGAGCTGCCCCTACCTACCTAGCTAACCTACCCCCCTCTAAATAAAAACAAGACGACGGACGGCCCAGGGGTGTGGAAGGAAAGGTTATGTAGAAGTAAGAGATGTGTATGAATACATCTGAGAGTTTTGTAGCTACATTTGCGCGTATGCTACAAGATGCTACAAGTATACGTGCAGACGCACGTTTCCAGAGTTGTTGCTATGGATGTAGTAAGATGAGACTCGCCGCGAATCATCCCGCTCGACAGCGGCACGGCCAATTTACACCAGTGTGCTTTCCTTGGCCCAACGGCGCGGACTCACGCAAACGCACTTTCCACCGTGGCCGCGCAAAAGGCCGCACAGTGTGCAACCGCGATATATGACGCACGCGTAAGACCCCAGCGAAAGTCATAGTTGACTTTGCACATGATTTTACTCAAGCAAGGCCCCAGCGAAAGTATGCTGTACTTGACTTTGCAAATGACTTTGCTTAAGCTAGATACCAGCGAAAGTTATCCAACCAAGATCCCAGCACCAAAGCAATCCACCCAAGCAAGATCCCAGCACCAAAGCAATCCACCAGAACAAGTTCCCAATACCAAGGCAATGCTAGCGTAGCAGCAGATCTACACAACCATACCTGCAAACTGCAGATGTACTGATAGCATAGCGGCATACCTATTGTAGCATTACAACTGCAGCTGTAGAACTTGCAAATGTATACCACCTCCGTAGCAACCGGTCTAGAAGACCACGTGTGCAAGCTGTAAATGTACTTATAGCAGTCCTACAAACAGTTATATATTCCCAAATTGGTACAAAACCTGCAGCCTGCAAATGTAGTTTCTAGCATGCGTGCAAATGCAGCTGTATGCCAGAAAGATAGCTCCCAATTGTACTGATGCAGATGTGTTACAAAAAGTTCTGCAGAAGAACTTCGCAACGCTCCCGGGAAAAAACGAAAATGCCCCCCTGTCAGCACCTTCGGCGGGCGGACTTGACCAGCAGATGGCTCGCCCGCACCAAGCAAACGTAACAAAAGCGGTGTTTTGTTTGTAGCCGAACTTCCGCTCCTATGAAGCCGGGCTTTGTGACAGAAACTTTGCAGTGAAGCAAGTGGGCATCTTCCAAACCCGCCTGGGGTTTGGTAGTCAGTTATGATGGCCCTGCAAAGGGTTCCAAAGGCATTCTGAGCACAAAACTGGTTGACCCAACCGTGGCCTACAAAATTTTTTGAGTTCTTGAATAGTTTGGGTAAGCACGGGGGTAGCTGCTAGCTACTCATATCCTTATCCGTCCCTCATGCTGCCGAGAGATAGAGAGAGAGAGAGCATGCAGGCAAACATCACATGCTCTGATTTCATTCTTCCAGAGACGAGTGAGATGAGTCCTGATCAATCTTTTACTTCCCAAGGCCCTGTAAATGAAGAGCCACTTGCTCCAGCAGCCGCGCCAGTTGAAGAGGCCCTCATGAAGCAAACATGTGGACAGCGCACAGTGAGCAGACTTAGATGGAGCGGGCTTAGATGGAAGATGAACAGTTTCAACGCAATTGAACTAAAGGTGTCCTGCCATGTTGTTTCATGTTATTTCCAGATGATGCTAGAAGATGAGACAGGGCTGACAAAGTTCAAAAGGATGTAGTTGTGAAGGTTGTGTTTGTGTATTGCTGAGCTTATGCAGATAATTTCAAGCTGAACTTGTTGAGGTAGTGATGGACATCAACAGCGACGTCTCGGGCACAGCCCTCCGGGAGCGGGGCTTGCCTGGATGGGCGTGGTTCTTCATCTCATTCGCAGTGACCTGGCGGGAGCATCTCGGGTTGTTTGGCTTCTCAGATTTGATCCTCCCGGTCATCTTGGTCCCGATGTGTTGCATGACCCTGTGACCGAGAAGAGATCGCTTGGCCGCCCGATGGAAGAGATGTAGATGGCCCAATTGCGGGGCCACAGATGAATGACTCCATGTGTGACGTGGACCGGGCGGGTCCACGCCGCTTTCGGATCAGGTGGCCGCTGGCCTCGCTGGCTCTGTGATTTTCTGCTACAGAAATATGGGCGATTCTCGCATGGGCCCCAGCTGCAGTGAGAGCTTTGTATGACCTCTTCATATATGATGTTTGAGTTGCAGCAGGTGATCTAATGCAGGAAGGACTCCATGCCTAAGACCTGTAGCAAGTGTCCCAGTGCGACTATGGACCACACACCTAGATACCGTGTGAAGAGGCATTGGCTCAAATTTGCCCACGATTTCAGTTTCAGTTTTGTATGCTCGGAGGACTTTTGCGCTTCGCAATGGCACTTTGGACTTCAATCCAACTGCTGGCAGTGGTCCTTCTTCAGCCTGTGCTGAGTCAGGTAAATGAAGCTCTGCCGCCGCAGCCGGCTAAGTGTCCAGCATCTTGCATTCAAAAGAAAGGTCTCTGTGAAAAGCGAGGCCGGTGTTGCCATGAAGCTGCAACATGTCCAAAGTTCGAGCCTTCGGGCAAGTATCGTTGCCACAACTTTCAATGCCACATTGGCTTCGACTCTGTCTCGCCCTTCATTAACGAAACGCAGACCATCATGAAGGTGGGCGAAAACCTCTACAACATCCTCTCCAACGAAAATGATGCCTCAGGACCCTCCTTCAACCAGTCCTTCAGCATGGTCCAGAATCCTTTCAGCGAGTTGGAGTTGGAGGGCACGCTCTACGATCGTCACCAGGATGGAAGTCCGCCGTACCACAATGGCTATCCTGGGGGCTTCCAGCCGGCAACAAATGAAGGGATTCCCGTTTCTTACTACCAGCCTCCGCTTGCCACTTACAAGATCCAATTCAAGTCTGAAGCCGAGTTTCATGGCATGGGCCTTTTTGCACGCCCTGGCATCGGGCCAGGAGCAGGCCCGCATGCCTGCTTCTTCCCGAAGTGTGTCAAGATCAGTGTTTGAGCTGCCCGACTCATTAGGTTGCCTTTTTTGGCAACTCATTTTCCATGGGGCTGGGTGTGGTAGCTTGTAGAGTTAGAGCTGCTGGTCCAAAAGAGAGAAGCAGCTGGGCTCTACTCCTGGCCACCCGCAGACTTCTGCGGTTAATTCCTGTATATTGGACAAATGGGAACGCTGCAAAAAGGCAAAAGGAAGATGGCTTGAACTTTCTTTCCAGGAATTCTTTTGGTACTGTAACTGTCCTCCACTTTAGGTGTTGCAGATCTGATGCAATTCCACAAGAAAACACATTCGTTGGACCTCCTTTGTGCCACTCCGAGCAAAAATAAGAAGGACATAACTGACATAACCTGATCCTCCTGAGACCAGCCTTTCAAGGCGACAGCTCTTTGCTGGAAGAGGACGAAGAAGATGAGCTGGAGTGAGTGGTGAAGCGATCAAAGCGAACGAACATCCGTGGGACGTTCATTCACACAGCAGAGAACATGACCGTGACATGAACATTTGAGATTTGCAGCTTTTGGGGAAAGATCCACACACAATGGGGGACCCCCCCATCTGCAGAACTCTTGTGTTGAAGAGCAGGCGGATGTTGAGGCGGACCATGACATCCACTCGTTTGAACACAGAAACCAAGTCTTATGTGGTTTTATGTGAAACAAAGGCTGAGCTTATGTGGTCTCATGCTCTGATTCAAACAGATTGCTTTCCTTCTATTGCTTTCAATGATTTCCCCAGTCCTTGCAGAAGCCCTTAGCGAGAAGTTTCACTGAGATGAGATCGTTTGTGGGAAGAAATTGGGTGGCTGTCGATGAGCTCTCGATCGACGAAGCATGTTTGCATCCTCGGATCAGTTTACGTGCACCATTTTTCACATGTCAAGTGCAAAACTATTGCCCTAGTGACCCTAGTGGTGGTGGTCCAAATGCGAGGTTGTGATTTGATCGGGCTACCAGTATCTTGCAACGAAATTGGCTACATGAGAAGGTAGTTGTTAGGCTGCACTGACAACTACCTAGAGGGACTGCATGTGCGCTCCTTGGGGGCCTTGGGCCTCAACCGAGTAGCGTCCTTGTTACTAGTAAGGCCAGGAGCTACTAGTAGCTTCTTGCTTCTAGTAGCGATGCCCTTTCTTACTACTAGAACTTCATACGCCCCTGCTTCGGGACTATGTGGCTTAGTTTGCAGAGCGTGCCGCGGGCCCAGCACACATTTTTGGGCGAGGACCGCTTGGCCATGGAACCGGCTGCTGACGTGCGGGCAGTGCGGCGGACAGCTGTTCGGCGCGCAGCCACAGGTGTTCGGAGGCCTAGATTTGCGCGCTTTGCCAGGTTCTCCTTTTGCGAAGGCAACTAGCTGATTTGATTAAGGGGCTTGACATTGGCAGGTGCCGTTTCATGCTATTTGCACGATTCCATTCGTGGGTTGTACCAGGTGGGGTTTGAATCGGGTCGACCGCTATTGAGAATCATTCGAGATTCGGCCAATGCACTTGATAACCAGTTGAATCATCAGATTCAACCGTTCTTATATAGATTACTGTAAATGGATATACTGTAATTTTTGAGGACAGCATGGTAGGTAGTGCCTTTGGTCCTGACTGAGGCAGTGCTGTTGTGTCTGGGCCATGCCCATGCTTTCGTGGCGCCAGCGTGGCGCACAGGCTCTGTGACGAGCAAGGTTTTTGTCGCAATGTGTGGTGAAATGACTCCAAAGGCCCCAGGCACCTTAGCTGTGTTTGTCGCGAGCAGCTGAGCAGCTGTTCTCGAATGTTGACAACCGGTGTTATCTCGACTGGGAAAACGAACGTCAGACGGAATGTGAATGATTCACATTGCCGGCACATTGCCATTTTCCAGGTGTTGAGTTGCAGTGGCTTGTCTGCAGTACTAATTGCAGAACTCTGCGAATTACTTTGCTGCAAATGTAATGTCAGGGCTTGATTAGCACCACAGATTCATCTTCTTTTCGGCATGACGACTGGGATGATGCACAGCGAAGAAGCAAACCCACTCCTTTGGCGGCCTGGCCCTCTTTGTGGAACTGACGCCGTTTCATGGGAGGTTCAGAACTCCAGCAGAACAGACTCCCACCGATTCTGAGGCAACCCATGCCAGACCTTGGCCAGGTGGTGTCCAAGTTGCATTGGTCTTGGGGCTGAAAGACGGCCGGCCTGGTTCACTTGGATTTTGGTAACCGGGCAGTGACAACCAGTTCGGTGAGCAGCTTTCCAGTTCTATCAAAAGGACTTTATAGATCCAGATTATCGGCATTTTTCCTCAAGACCGTGATCCCACATGGTCATGGGTCAAGGGCTTGAGGGAACGTCTACGGAGTTGTCTGCCGTCTCAGGTGATTGCAGACAACCCACAGTGTCTTGCCCAGCAGAATGGGGGTGTGCTCGCATCCCTCGGCAGAACCATCACTACCCTTGGCGCGCGGGACGTGGATGGCACAATAGCTCAACTCCTCATGCAAGACAGGATATCGACTCGGGGCTTAGGGCGCACTTTTATTTGGGGAATTTGTTGCGTTGCGTTTGTTTGTTATCTTTTTTGTGCGGTCGTGGTTTCTCACTGCAGTTCCTCCAGTGGACGTGGAAAGCTAGCTGCTTGTAGAAATAAGTGTCCAGGAGACCCTTTTCCATGTCCATGTCTATTTCAGGGCATCTAGGGCCTATGTGCAAAATACCTAACCAACTGGACCACAAGGCAAAGACAAAAACTCCGCCCGCAGGGCGAACATCCATGACATGAGACAAGTGCATCATAATCGAGAAGGAAGCAACGAAGGAAAGAGTTCTGTTCATGTGATGCGCTTGGGTTGTCCCTTAGGGTGAAACAAAACACAACAACCGTAGAGCAGAAAACAAGGCAACAAGAGTATAGAAAGCCAGAAAAGCAGGAATAAGGCAAGTAATAAGCAACGACAACAAAGGCCATAGAAGGCAAAAGCATTAAAAACAGGAAAACAATACGCCACAAGAGGACAAGAAGCAGGAAAGTAAAGAAAAGCAGGAGAAAAGCCAGGAAGTGCAAGGCAAGCGCAAAAGAAGCAGGAAAAGCAAGAAAAGCAGGAGAAATCACAGGAAAGCAACGAACAAAGGAAAAGCAGGGAAAAGACAGACAAGCACAAAAGCAGGAAGGACCAGAAAAGCAAGAGCAACCACAGAGAAGCAAGTATATAAATGTGAGGAAAAGCAACAAGAAGCAGATCTAAAAGAACATCCCTAAACGCAACACAAAAACATCACCGACAATAATAGCACTCCAAATCCTCAACAGGACCTTATTCTTTGGCTACCCTTGCTAGTTTACATGTCAAACAAAGTCATCGAATTGGTTTTCCAAACACTGCTTGCTTCATTTTTTAGCCTTAACGCCTTAGAGCATCGAGTCGTAGGGGCAAGACAACTATGGCTCAAACAGTAGGACAACATCCACTCCGCAAATGGACAACTCGATTATGACTAATCTGCGGGTCAGGGGTCCCTTCTTTTTGACCACAGCCAAGTGAATGTAGCATGCAGTTGGGCAGACTATATGTCGTCAAAGCAATTTCGCAGCATTTGATAATTTAACTCACCACTCTCTTGCAACCTCTGAGAAGACTGATTGCATTTTTTCAATTCCCCAAACTCTTGGATTTGTTCGTATTGTTGCGATGTCAAGGGACGTGTCACAAATTCGAGGGACTTGACGCCTTTGGAGAAGTTTGGCCCCGATCCTTTCTTCTATGGTTACATCATTATCTCTTTGCTCGTCGTTGCTGTACCTTGGCTTCAACATCCATATGATGGAGCCAACAAGCAAGCATTCCGCTCTGCGGTTTGCAAATTGAAAGCTCGTTTTGTTCATTTGGACCAAGGTATCTCTTTACTTGATTACGAAGCCCTACTGGGAGCAGCGGTGGTTGATCGAGCGAATCAACGCGTAGCTTGGACTTGGAACTGCTTTGATGCGAGGTCTCTCTCGGCCAACATCAACGGAATCGGAACAGCAGAGTCTTCGCCCGGGGCCTATTTTCCTCGTTGAAAATCAGCTTGTTTGAGGCAGAAGCTCAAGTTCATCACGAACGAGGATGAGGCGAGCCGCGGTGATAAACTCCTGCCTCATCCACACCCCGCACGCCTTGGGGTCCTCGCAATAAGGTTTGTATGAATTGGTAAGAAGCTTTCTCAAGTTATGGAAGCAAATTCTGGCGGCAGGCAACCCCTCGTGAGCAGTTCGAGCTGGGCCGAATGTGACTTGCTTTATTGCTGAATCAGATGTTCCAACGCAAAGTGTGGATAGCAGTACGTTGATTCTGTTTCATCAGTTTCATCGTCTTAGTCACTTAGTCAAGTTTGGCCCCACACTCTGCCGACCTTGCTGTAGACAGGCTTTCCATATGCAGCTTGCGGCTGAGGTACAATGCTTTGAAGGATTTCCCCAGTGCATTGGCCGAGCTTCTTGACTGCGATACCTCGAACCGAACGAAGAGGTGTTTAACAATGGTCGCCGTGTCGGCTGTGAGGTTTGAAGAAGTAGAAGAGGACTTTGGTGAAATTGCCGAAGTGCTAGACCCAGAGGCCGGAATGCCTCTTTTCCACAAACTGACGTGCCCAGAATGATTGAAGAGAGATGCACTTGGGATCTATTCTGTAGTCTATTTTGGGTGTCAAGTTTTCTGTGTGTTCAGCCGAGCTCTCTTCAAGGCTGCTAGGTTTACATTTCAGTGGAGCTTGCAGGACGCCATGGGTGCGCTTGCAGCAAGGGCGCAGCTGCACAATAGCAAAGGCCGACTTTGAGCACCGTAATGGCAGACACCGGTGCTTCGAAGTAACTCTGATGGACCCCCACAGGCATTTTGGTAACAACAAAGCATGACCAAACCTACACGCACAGGCAGGAAGGTACCAAGCCGAACACGTGGGTGGGATTTCTACTTTGCACAGCCAAAAGCGGGCCTCTTTGCAGGCTTTGCTTTGATGAAATTGGAGCCACCGCGAACGGCTCAAGCAAGACGTGAGTTTGTGCGGGCTGTTACGCTTCTTGGACGCAGTTGATGGTCAAGAAGAGGTAGGACCCCTACTCCCATGGCCCATAACTGTTTGGGTCTATCCACTTGGTTCTCCGTTCGTCATCGCAAATCTTGCTCCCTTAATGAAGTCAGGTACTGGCCTGAATATCCTGAGGCACGGGGGCCCTCAGAGGTGTGCGCATATTGTTTTACATGCTCAACAAGAACTGTGCTTTTCTGTTGTTTTTGAAAGGACCCCGCGGAGCTCCATGATTTGAAAGGGATTCGCAGCGATTGACCGCAATCTGTTTCGAGCCTTCATGTCTCGATCGAGATAGGGCACGCTTCTGTTTGTGGAACAATAGTGCTTTTAGCAGTTGCGAATGAAGAACAGGTCACTGTGCGACACAGACATTTTGATATTTTTGATATCCTTTGCAGGAGAAACGGAGAAACTAGGGAGCATTGCACATTTTGATCACCGCACACTTTTAGCCAGGCTCTGCTAAACATTGGCAGAGAACTCATCAAGAGAAAGCGTTTTGATGTGGCGGCTGCTTGGCAAAAGGATTGTGAAAGGTGCTGGATCTAGCAGCTGTGAGGGATTCAGAACCCTGAAACTGCTGCATTGCATTGTCCAAGGTACGAACGCTGAACACAGCCTTGAAGTGGCAGCCTGGAAACGATGATATCGCAGACTTTGCGGAGCAGGTGAGCTCATGGGGGAGAATGAGACACGAGTGACTTGCATGTCTTCTGCTGCATAGTGCTTATTGTTGTTTCTTGCTTGGTTGAGTTTTGGCTTTGAGGCCGAATCGTTGAACCGTTGAACCTGAAACAGTTTTTTTGCTGCAGAGACACGCATTGAATGATGCATTCTGACATATTCAGACAGGCCAGGAAGGCCATGGATGGTCAACTGACTGAGAAGGAGATGAAAGAATTGGCTTAGATGCCTTAGGAGGAAGGTGGCAGGATAAGTGATGCCTGCAGATCAACTCAGCCTCTCACAATTGGGGGAGTTCAATCCCACCAAAGAGATGAATCATTTGACAGTGGGAGAAACACCCTGACAGGTGAAGTCGGTTTCAAGGGCCGTTCGGCCAGGTCACGTTCGCTGCATTTTCCTCCAATTTTTGCGCAAATGCCGGCGAACATTGAAGAACGTCCACTTGACGCCTGGACAGATACTTCTGGGTCACAAAGCAGCCACACCAATGAAACAAGTTGGACTTTTACCTCCTCGTGGATTCATTCCAACGGCATTCGGCACCTGTGCGCTTACTTTCGCTTTGCTCCAACGGTGGCCGAGTTTTTCACACCTGAAAGGCGTGGGTGTCTAGTCGACACCATCCAAGGCCTCTCTCTTCCTCTTGAACAAGCTTGATCAAAACTCAGCCTGTCACTGTAACATATCGGTTGACTAGAGGCACATCTTGGTTTCCCGATAGAGTCTTGATTCGACATCATCGACTGCGCATATTGATTTCGTCCCGAGCATGGCGAGGTTTGAGGTTTCGCAGAGTCCGGGCCATGTCCAGCCGGGGCCCTGTCCAGACCGACCCTCCAATGTGATGAAGCTGTGAGGACCAAGAATCATCATGAATCATCCAATATCAACCAATCAAGCACCGGGTTTGTAGCCCTATCTTGTCTCAGACCCCTCTTCTGGTGCCCGTCACAAGTTGTTCAGGTTCTCCAGTGGACACACATTGGAAAGGTTTAGTGCCTAGTGCCAGCGAAGAAAAGGCTTGCGCCAGTTGTTCAGGGCAGGCTTCATTAGCCGCAAAAAGGTTTGTCGTGAACTACACCTCCCAAGAATAACGCTTTTTACATTGGTTTTCATTGGGGAATGGAATTCACTTCCCATGCTTGAGAATAATCTCAAATGGCAGTCTTACCCCGTCAAGATCCGCTCGTTGTTGCAGGCCCAAATGACATGGGTGTCATTTTTGGCAGCGTAGTTTCTAGCGTAGTTTCTACTTTCCTTTCCACTTTGAAATCAAGGGGTGGCAGAGTCCGTGTATTTGTCCTGGCTTCTCCCACAAAAAGCGGAAGCAGAAGAAGAAACGCAGAGCACATCTGAAAATACATTCCACACAAATCCACATGTCCATAGGATGCGTAGGATACATGAACCCAGCACTGGATTGCGCTCTGATGTGCTAGCGACACTGAAAAACGCCGCGTGGGCTAAAAGGCCCGCGCCTTTTGGAGGGAACCACGAGGGCGCCGGCACTGGGCTGCCTGAAAGTGTCTCGGTCCAAGAGGTTCGTAGGAACAAGCCTCTAGTAGCGTCCTTGCTCCTGGTAGCGATGCCAGGAGCCCCTAATAGTACTAAGGCCAGGAGCCCCTAGTAGCGTCCTTGCTCCTAGGAACAATGCCCTTTGCTCCGTTCGTAGCGTCTGATCGCTGCGTTCGTAGCGATGCCCTTTGCTCCTAGTAGCTTCTTGTTCCTGGTAGCGATGCCAGGAGCCCCTAATAGCGTCCTTGTTACTAGGTTCGAGTCTTTTTGTTTGGTGGTCCTCTTTTTTGGGGCCCGCAGGCACCGCAGCCACCATGCCAAAACACCTGCAAACAACTTGTTCAAGCTTTTCGGAGAGATTGTGATGTACACCTTCCTCTTTGAGGCTTTAATAATGGGCACACGAGCCTTCCGGCGGCATCAATGCCTGGTGGACTCATCAGACTTTGTGGAATTCCACGAACGTGGAACACGGCATAGGCCCATGGCCGAGTGGAAGGTGAAGAAAAAGGAAGAGTACTCTACTGATGAAAACGAAAAAGTCAAGCCTTTGTTTGTGATCCATTCCTCTCAAATGGCCGAAACAGGAGCCAGACAGCTAACGCGCGAAGCATATGGCCACTTGGCCAGGATGGGCTGCGCGGGCATCATGTCCAGCGGTTTGTTGCTCCTCACCTTGGTGCTCACAGTCTACGGAGCAGCAGGCCGGGGCTGTGGCTCACATGTTTATGCTTCTTCCGACTACACAAAGGACCATGACTCAAAACCCATGAGCTGTAGCCATGCCATGACCAAATACCTTCTTCGATTAGTTTAGCATCTAGTGTCACCGATGAGCAGTGGAGATTGCCCGAAAGATACGACAACCATCACCACCACCACCACCACCACCACCATCATCATCAGCAGCAGCAGCAGCAGGAGGAGCAGGAGCAGTAGCAGTAGCAGTAGCAGTAGCAGTGGGAGGAGTAGTAGTAGTAGTAGCAGGAGTAGTAGTAGTAGTAGTAGTAGTAGTAGTAGTAGTAGTAGTAGTAG